CGTGTGCTCTTCCGATCTAGCAGCAACAGCAGCAGCAGCAACAGCAGCAGCAGCAACAGCAGCAGCAGCAACAGCAGCACCAACAGCAGCAGCAACAACAACAGCAGTAGCAGCAGAAACAGCAGCACCAGCACCAGTAGCAACACGAGCACCTGTAGCTGCAACAACAACAGCTGCAATAACATCACCAGCACCTGCCGCACCAGCAATCGCAACAGCAACAGCAGCAGCAGGAGCAGCAGCAGGAGTTTGGTTTGTCGTGTGTGTGTGTCTTTATGTTGTTTCCTGCTGCAGCTACGGGTACCGAGGAAATCATTTGCTCGGGGCGAGCTGTTTGAATTAACGACAAATTATTTAAAATATAAATATTCTTCAACTGAGGTGTATGATGAGCCTCATCCAGTAGCAGTGGAAGGCGATGCTCTTCTTCTTCAGGTATTTCTTCTTTTTTATTTTATTGTTTTATTTGTTTTGTTTATATATTTAGATTAATGTTTGCAGCATGTTTTATTTGTTTATTTTCTGTTTAGCTTTGCATGCGTCTTTTACGCGAATTATTTACTTACGCTTTTCATTCACGTAGCAAGGAGAGGAGTCTGTATTATGATAATGCTTATTATTATTATTTTTATTACTAATAGTATTGTTGTTGCTATTATTATTATTATTGTTATTATTATTACTATTGTTGTTGTTGCTATTTTTCAGTATTATTATTATTCGTTGTATTTATTTTGTTTGGCTGTTTCTCTTGTGAATTGTTTCTCAGTTATGTTATATTACATTATAATTATATTATATTATATTATATATTACATTATATTATCCATGATATTATATTATATTATTCTGTTTATTTTGTATATTCTGCTGTCTATACACCAGGTAGAGGCGGGTTGGTTTGAAGACAGCGACGGAGCCTTCGGCCCGCAAATCCCTGCTGAGTTTATTTGCGGGAATACAACGCTGGACTTAGTACAGCCTTGGTTAGACAATATTTATTTAATTATTAATTATTTAATTATAATTATAATACTTATTCAATATATTATTTTATTTGTCCGACCTAATAATAATTCAACTACAATAATTTAGTTATAATGGTAATATAATAATAATAGTAATGCGAATAAGAATAAGAATAAGAATTTAATAATAATAATAATAACAGTGTTAATTTAATAATAATAAAAATACTCTAATAATAACAATAATATATAATGATGCCCACTGCTTTTCAAGGCGTCGCAATATGCAGAAAACACATTAGTTCGTTTGTTTTATTTGTTTTATTCTTTTATTTGTTTTATTTGTCTTACAGGTTTTATGCGTTTAATTTGTTTATTTGCTTTATTTGCTGTTTTTATTCCTTTTATGTGTTTAATATCTTATTTATTTTCTGTGTTTTATTTGTTTTGTTTGTTTTATTTGTTTTGTTGAAATTGTTTTAATTGTCTAATTTTTTGTTTAATTTATTTTGATTTATTTGTTTACTTTTATTAATTTATTTATTTAAATTGTTTTAATTGCTGGGTCTATTTTATTTGTTTGTCTTTTCTTATAAGGATCCCCTCGGAGTTGTTGGAGGCGGTTAGGGGGATCTCAGTAGGAGAGTCCCGCACAGTTAGTGTGTCTCTACCTTTTCGTGCTGTTGATTTATTGAATATAAATGCAAGAGAAAGCGAGCAAAAAGAGAGAGTAGAGTGTATTGATACTGAAGGAAAAGATTTAATTCTCAAGCAGAAGATAGCATCAAATTATACAGCAGAACAAAACAAAGAAAACAATATTAAACAAGAAGGGCAAAGTTTGGTTTCTCTATATTTAAATAATATCGCCAATACAACTAAAGACGGCATCTTTAACGCTCTAATAGGGCAAACAAATAATGATGCTGATGCTGCAGGTCAAGATGCAGCAGCAGCAGCAGCAGCAGCAGCAGCAACACCAGATGCCGGAGCAGCAGCAAGGAGTGCAGATGAAGCAGCTCCGGGCTTTCGAACGGCACAAGTAAATGAAGAAGAAGAAGAAGAAGAAGAAGAAGAAGGAGAAGAAGAAGACGAAGAAATACATCATATAGATTGTATTATTCAAATTAAATGCCTTCAAATCAAAAGACGCATCTTGCCCGACTTAGACGGTTAGCGTACACTCAAATAATTGCAGTACTTTTCCTTTCATTTTGATTAAAATATATATATATCGCCTAATATATATATATATATATATATATATATATATATATAA